TTTAGAATGCCTTCAGAATGACAAAGCATCATTGAAACTGTAGTTTTAAAACATCTGGGGATCTACCTTCTGGGCACCCCTGCTTTAGGTAATGTTTTCATGTGACATGTATAGCAATAAGTGAGTGGTTAGAGTCAGCGGTGACAAGTCTTAGTGGGTAGCACTGAAATACCATCATTTCAAGTAAATTAATGATAAAGTACATTTTCTGATAATAAAAGTATTAAAGAACCACTCAACGCACCATAACCAGAGCATAATGCTATAGCAATTGTGATGTCAGACGAGCCCTAGCACACACCCCCTCCCCCAATGCAAGTAGTCAAACTATTTTCTGATGGTGTGACTTCTAATTTGGGGTCCGTTGCGGCGCTGCTCCCTGTCTCTCAGAGAGCCAGTAGGGCTCAACCTGAGCTAAAGCCAGCAGTATGTAAAAATATAATATTGAAATATAAATATAATTAAAATATATAAAAGTCATTTCAATCTTTTTAATAAAAATATAATACAAACAAAAAAAAGATACACGCTAAACAGATATATTATGATGAGATGAAATGTCTGACTTTATTTATAATATAATTTTACATTTTGTTATTCTAAACAAAATGACATAATAGTGCGTCTAATGGAGTCACAGATTCAATAATGGGTTTAGATTTAGCTTTCAAAATCTAAAATATTGTAAATGAAACATATTTAAGGAACTAAGCCTTACACGGCTAAAATTAGTTGCAGCAGATCAAATGGAATGCTATACAAAACATTCATCATGCTTAAATATTTGCATGTGACTCTTCTTATAGGCTATTTTTGTAGTGTTATGTTTCAAGTTTGCACAGAAAAGATCTTTGGTAACAGTTTTCCAGGGGTGTTACTTAATATTAATTTTTGCATCACAACTTGGCAATAATCCTTATAATATAGTATAGTTACAAATGATCAGAATGAATAGAATGTATATATTTAAATATTCAAATAATTCATATTATATTAGCTATTAGACGGTAAGTATTTCAGTGAAATGTACATTACCGTTATAAATAATACAAAACAATTACCAGATTTTACTAATTACATGACGTAAAGTCATGATTTTATAAAGGACACGGAGGCGAGTATTAGGCTTTCCTCTTTCTTTATTCCTCAGCAGCAAAGAAAGCTAAGGTGTTTATTTGTAGAAAAAAGGAAAAGAAACATGTATAACTACCCTCACAGGGTTAACATTACATCATTATCTCCTATCCAATAGGAGCAGTCCTTCTCTGATATCCTTTCCTGTAACCTCCTCCTCTTCCTCTTTCTTGATGTTGCCGAAGTTAAAGTTCGTGTTTGTACCAAGTAACTATCCACTCGGTCGAACATAACCTAAACAGAAAAAACAGTTGAACATTGAACTTGACCGTGAACTCTTCCATGGGGAATAACCGCTGGAGACCTCCAGAACTGATCCCCTTGAACTCGAACTCGTCGTCCATCCTAGGAGTTGTAGGATTGTTCACGCTGTAAAAACAAAGAAAATAGTGGTAAAGCGTGTCCTTGCCAACTATTGTCGTTTTACTCTTATGTATCAAACTTGAGCTGTTTATGAAACCGTTATGTTTAACCAAATCTGTCATAGTCAACCACGTTATGTATTACCAAGAACCACTTACGTGAAGAAGGAAAAAAAAAAAAGTGAACTCTTTCTACCAAAATACTTAGTACGTACCTGGGTTGGGATACACAACTTGTGTATCTGTTCCGGGTGGGCTAATACTCGCCTCCGTGTCCTTTATAAAATCATGACTTTACGTCATGTAATTAGTAAAATCTGGTAATTTTATTAAAGGACACGGAGGCTCTTATTAGGCTAGTTCAAAGCTGTGAAATAACCAGGCTCGACACGTGCTCTGTTTGCCGAAAGTAATATTCTTTAAACGTCGATTCCCTGGACCAGTCTGCCGTTCTCATGAGGTCTTCTAATCTACAACCTAACGTGAACGCTTTGGATGCCATGGCTCCTCTAGTAGAGTGTGCGCCATATACGGAGGTATCTATGTGAGCTAGCGTCATTATCCATTTCACCCAGCGGGCGAGGGTTACCGTGGAGACAGGTTGATGTGGTTGTCTGATGGCCAGAAACAATTCCGGATGTGTTGATTTCCTGAATTCCGAGGTTCGTTTCTCATATTCTCGTAGGCAGTGTACTGGACAGAGCTTCTCGTTGTGTGGGAACGAAGGGTATGAGACTGATGTAATTGACGATTTTGTACGCCTGGAGATGTTGAACGAGACTCCTGTGGGAGTAAAGGAGCGTGCATCAACGTCCAGTGCTCTAACGTCTGACACCCTCTTGCAAGATAGCAGGCAGAGGAGCATGGTGAGCTTCGCTGACAGTTGTTTGAGCGTAAGTGCCTCGTTTTGAGGCCAGGACTCTAACAGCGTCAGCACTGAGTTGACGTCCCACAATGACGAGTATCGGGGTTGTGGTGGGCGGGCAAAACGAATTCCCCTCAGGAGACGGCATACCAGAAGTTGCTGACCCATCGGGGTTCCCTCTATACCTTGGTGCCCTGCCGAGATTGCTGATCTATAGACGTTGATGGTCCGGTAGGCCAATCCTTGATTATGTAGGTTGGTGAGGAACCTCAACAGATAACTTACAGGAGCACGTACGGGATCCATTTGTTGTTCCATGCACCAACTAGCCCATCCGTTCCAGGCATAGAGGTAGGAGCGTCTAGTTCCAGGTGCCCAGGCTCCCGCCAGTAGTTCGACAGTGTCCTGTGGAACGTCCGGTATGCTCCAGGGTCCCCTGAAAGGAGCCACGCTAAGAATTTGAGACGCCCCTGGGTCATGAGGGGATGTGGGTTGCCCTCTGGGTCTGATAAAAGGAACCAGGGGTCCGGAAGTCGTCTCGGGAAGTCCATGGACATTTCCATTAGGGTCGGGAACCACGGTTGGGTTGTCCAAAACGGAGTTATGAGGACCAGGGTCGCTTGAGTACGTCTGAGATGTACTATCGTGCGAGCTATGAGGGAGAACGGAGGGAAGGCATATAATCGGCTGTTCGGCCAGTGTTGGAGAAAAGCGTCCGCTGCTAGTGCGTCTGGGTCTGGTCTCCAACTGAAGAACGTTGGCAGTTGTGAGTTCAGCCGGGATGCGAACAGATCGATTTGCATCGGGCCCCAGAGCGCTTGAAGCTGTAAGAACACCTCGCGGTCCAGCCGCCAGTCGCTGGCGTCTTGTATGTGTCTGGAATGCCAATCCGCTACCACGTTGGACATACCCGGGATGTATTCCGCTTGGACCGAGATGTTGTGTTCCAGGCAGTGTTGCCAGAACTCCTTGGCCAGGTCCGCCAGTATCTCGTGCCACCGAGGTGGTTGATGTAGCGGACTGCGGAAATGTTGTCCATGCGTAGGACGATGGAGCAATTGGTTATGCCCCCGAGGAGGCTCTTCAGTGCGAAAGATCCCGCCATGAGTTCCAAACCGTTGATGTGTAATTTTTTCTCTGCGCACGACCAGGTTCCTCCGGTGGAGGTAGGCCCGCAGCGCGCTCCCCAACCGTGCGTGCTCGCATCGGACTCTACGATGAAGTCCGGGGCAGACCCGAATATTGCTCTGCCGTTCCACGCCTCCATGTGTAGCAGCCACCCTGTGAGTTCCTGTTTGGCTTCGTAGTCGAGTGGCACAGAGTCGGAGTACGCATGCCCTGAGCGTAATTGTGTGGCCTTTAGACGCTGTAGGGCCCTGTAGTGTAGTGGCCCCGGGAATATTGCCTGAATGGAGGCTGAGAGGAGTCCGATTACTCTGGCTAGTTGCCGGAGTGTCAGTACCGGCCTCTTGAGTGTTCTGCGGATCTCCTTTTTGATGAGTTTTACTTTGTCCGTTGGTAAGCTGAGCGTACCGGTAGTCGCATCTATGTGAAAACCCAAGAATTCCATGTTCTGGGACGGGGTAAGCACCGATTTCTCCCAGTTGATGAGAAATCCTAGATTCTGTAGCAGTGTCACTGCCCATGTCAGGTGCTGTTGTAACTGACGGGCTTCGTGCGCCATGATCAGCATATCGTCCAGATAAATGATCATCCGGACGCCTCTGCTGCGTAGAAAGGCAACCACAGGCTTCAGCAGCTTGGTGAAGCACCAAGGGGCCGATGAGAGACCAAAGGGAAGGCAGCGGAATCGCCACATTGTCGCTTCCCATTGGAATTGGAGCAGGTGGTGGCACTCTTCCGCAATGGGGATTGTAAGATATGCATCTTGGAGGTCCAGCTTCACCATCCAGTCCCCTAACCTGAGCAGGTCTCGCAGGCAGTGGATACCCTCCATTTTGAAATGGTGGTACCGCACAAATGCGTTTAGTGGCCGCAAGTTGATGACTGGGCGTACCCCGCCGCCCTTCTTGGGTACCAGAAACAGATTGCTCATGAACCCAGGGGATGGTGAAGGGACCTGGTATATGGCGCCCTTCGCTTGGAGGGTGCGAATCTCCTCGCTCGCCAAGCCCTTGTCTTGCGTGGAGAAAACTATGCGGTGTGGTCTGTGTGTTTGGACCGGGGTTCGCACAAACTCTATGTGGTAACCCCTGATGGTGTTGAGGACCCATACGTCCGCAGTCAGCTGTTGCCAGGACTCTACAAAGTGTAACAGTCTGCCCCCCACAGTCGGTACACCCGGGAGGGGGGGGTAATACACTTACCATAAGGTCGGCGGCTGTACGAGTTGCCTCTGGGTCCTCGAGGTTGCCATGGTCTGGCCCTGACTGGGAAGAAGGGTGAGGGCGTACGGCTCTCTGGCGGCTGGAATCTAGCCGTGGCGGGACCTCTGTATCCCCGGTAGGAACCGCGGGAAGAACGGCCGGGCAGACGGCCCCGGTGTCTGCCGGCCCCACCAAAAACTCTGGGAGAGAACACTCTTTTTATATTTGTCTGTGCCTTGTCTAGGGCCGTAAAGGTGCTCACATATGTTCCCAATTCTTTGACAAAGTTGTCACCGAACAGGAGACCCTTGGCTTGCGGTCCCGGTTCGGTGAGAGCCATGTTAATTAGCTTGGGCTCGATTTTCATTAAAATAGTTTTGCGCCTTTCTGTGGCCAGTGCAGCGTTAGCGTTGCCGATGAGGCAGATCGACCGTTGGGCCCAGCCTCTAATGGCTAGTAAATCAATAGGCGTTCCCTCATTTAAGGCCGCTTCGACCAATTCAAAAATCTTGGCACTAGGGCCCAATGTATCCAGCACTTTATCTTGGCAGTGGCGTAGGGAGTAATCAAGTCCCTTCTTCGCCTTCCAGCCAGACTTACCCAAGAACTGTGCTATTTTGGGGTCGATATCAGGTGTAGCACAGGCCATGTCAGGCACAGTCGGGCGTGGGCATTCAGCCCGTAGTTTCTGCCTGGTGGCCTTATCCAAAGGTTTGCGGATTCTGGCCGCTATGTATCGTGCTACATGATCGGTTGGATACCACTCCGCCGACCTCGGGTTTTGTAAGGTGTCTGGGTCGAACAGAGGTTCGCCCTGAGGGTCCAGAATAGTGGTTTCATCCGCCGTGTCATGCACGGGGTTGGCTGGAGTGCGTGTCGGACTCTGGTCCGGGGAGGAAAACTCCCATTCCTCTGAGTCGGCTTGGTCCGACCCGTTCAAAACCTCCTCACTATCCGAATCAGTGTCGGAAGAATCTGACAGGGCTTTTGCCCTCTTCCATGTCCGCGCCGCTTTTGCCCGGCGGGTGGCTCGTTTTCGTCGGGGCCCCACGACCTCAGGTGCGACAGGACGTACCCTGTCCGTCAGTCTAGTTTTGGAGGTATGTGTTCCCACATTGTGGGTTTTACTCATGGCCTTACGGCCCTCTCTGCTTAAAGGTTCCCCCTCTGTGGCCCTGGCTTGAGTCATGCTGGGGTTAGACGCCTTAATGGCACTCGAAATAGAGTGTGACAAGTTATCCGACATAACCCCCATGGCGGTAAAGATAGCTTGGGTAACTGATTTTGACATGGTGGCGTCCAGGAGCGAGTGGAACTCCTCAGAGTCCAATTGCTCCAGAGGGGCCACCATGTCCCTATGCAGGGATATGGGTTCAGCCACGGAGGGCCCGTGCTGGGCCTTAGTATCACCTTTATCACTGGTGCCAGGGGCAGAAAAAGCCTCAGGGGTCTGCATCTTGGGGGTATGTAAATGGTTATTTGAAGGCAAGAGACAAGGCAGGACAATAGCACAGAAATGTACTGTTAGCTTACCGAGTGTTCCCTCAGGAATGGCTCCTGGGATCACTGGCAAGCCAACAGTACACTAAACAGACCAATCAGCTCGCGCCCTGCAGTGGGCTGAACGAGCTGAGGGAGAAAAAGAGCTGCAAAATTTTTCCTAGTGCCGCCCCTTTAAGATGGGCGCCAGTATGGGCCGCGCATGTGCGCGCGGCGTTCCCGAACGAGAGGACGCGGCGGGGAACCCTCTGCCGGGAGAGAGAGCTGGTCCGGTCCTCGAGGGTTCCCTGCGCCGCGTGAGGTATGAGGGGGGTAATAAACTACCCAGCGGCGAGTGTGGAGCCGGTATCCCCGCGGGGGGGGCGGGGTACCGGCGGGACAATGTGGGAAAAAAAGGGGGGGGGGGCGGCCCCCCACGGAGGGTTAGCTACCAGGGGTGGTATACACCAAACGCACAATGCGTTCTGGTGAGATAAAATCAAGCCACAATAACATGCATAAAATCAAAATAAAGTCATACACATATACATTAAGAAATGACAGTTAGGGAAAAAAACAAGGTGTTACTTAGCTGAGGCAGCAGCAAAGAAAGAGGAAGAGGAGGAGGTTACAGGAAAGGATATCAGAGAAGGACTGCTCCTATTGGATAGGAGATAATGATGTAATGTTAACCCTGTGAGGGTAGTTATACATGTTTCTTTTCCTTTTTTTCTACAAATAAACACCTTAGCTTTCTTTGCTGCTGAGGAATAAAGAAAGAGGAAAGCCTAATAAGAGCCTCCGTGTCCTTTAATAAAATCAGTATTGTAATGTGTGTATCAGAGTCGCATAGCAATTATATGTTTTATATGTTACAATAAACACTTGGACATTCTATATAAAGTCTGTGAGAACTGTGCTGCCAATTTTTCAAATACTTGTAATTATGGACCTTTTGGTATAGCAGCCAGCAATTTAAGTCATTGTTTTTAAGCCTGAGTGCAAGAACTCTCACCAAACATATTATATATATATATATATATATATATATATATATATATATATATATATATATATATATATATATTAGAAGAGCATACAGGTGGTCCTCACTTTGCGACCCACCTGTTTTACGATGGCTCGCACTTACGATCAGCTCTCTAGTGTCGGGATTCAAGGGATTCCCCACGTTAGAGAGCTGGTCTATGCACAGGAAATTTTTCCCGAACATAGATTAGAGGGATTCCCTGCTCTTGTGCATATGTCTGCATTCGGGGAAATTTCCTGGAACATAGAAAAATGCACCAGAGCAAGGAATCCATCTAATCTTTGTTCGGGAAATGTTTGAGGGATTCCCTGCTCTGCAGCACTTGTTTATATTCAGGGAAATTTCTCCAAACATAGATCTGCACTGGTGCGCAGGTCGTAAGAACGGAATATGGCGGGTAAGTAAGGAGCATCTGTAAATATGTGTAATGTGTAAAAAGCTGGTGCACATCATTTAACAATGCATACTGACAATGGACTCTCAACCCCTACGGGACCTCGGACGTATCAGCTCCGACAAAAAATAGTCGTTCCCTGACCTCTGACATACCTAATACATCTGCGGCAAATTAGAGCGCTGGAAGAAATCATGATCGCTTCTAGCCGCTCTGATGGTATTGCAGCGATGCCTCACTGTCGGGCCGCAATAGGCGTCCATAGTGTTGCCTGCAGTGGGACTGCCTGAACTTACAGGCAGTCCCCTTGCTGGTGAAAAAAGTAAAATAAATAAATAAATAAAAGTTAATAAATGTAAAAAAATATATATATGTTTATGATATTTATGTATATATGATATATATATACCATATATTATATTATATATAATATGTAAATATATATCTTATATATAACATCATACTAAGTGTATTTTTTTTATTAATATATGTATATATTAATATAAAAATACATAGAGTAAAATTACACAATAATAAATATTTTATAAAAAATAAATAATAATTAATTTAAAATAAATAAAAAAAATTTTAAATAATAAAACAAATTTTTACAAAATTTTATGTATATATATATATATATATATGCAACTTTATTCTAACTGTATGTTTATATTAATATATATATATATATATATATAAATATATATATATATAGTAGTGTCGCTGTGCATTTATATTTGTGTATATGAGTCCATGTGCATGTATGTATATGTGTTTATGTATATGTATATATACATGTGTTTATGCGTTCACATATACATATTTCTGTGTGTGTGCATGTATAAAGTGTATCATCCTGTGCACTGTCTGCTTGTTTGTTTTTCTTTTCCCTCTCTCCCCCCTACTCTTCTCTTCAACAAGATATTTATGACCCTCTGCTAAGATGGTGTCTATTTTCTAACAAACCTGTGTCTTATCTACACTCATGTCGCTTTAACCCCTGTATCACAACTCAACTTTGAATTCTATGTGTCGTTTTGCTCAGAAATGCTTCAGACTTGAGAAAGGGAGGTTCTCCCGAAAGCTTGTCATTAAAAAATTCTGTTAGTCCAATAAAAAAGGTATTACAAGATAAGAATTTTATCTGTTTTTTTACATCTATATATATATATATATATATATATATATATATCAAAATACACTTAGAATGAAATTATATATATCTTCTTCGAATTCTTTATTTTTGTTTGACAAAAAGCGTTAACAAGGAAAGTATGACCAGGTTTGTGCAGAAGCCAATAATAGTATAACAAGGTTTTATGACATTGCGGAATTGGATTACATAAGATGAATGTAATATAAAGGTAGAACACATCAAGCTAGCTATACAGAATTATTTGGTAACGTTGATCTTTCATTTAGTGATGTCAGATTTTTCCTTTTTGCACATTTTCGTGGATGCATTTGACCCGTAGCGTGGAGGGCTCAATGGTGTAACTGGTATGGGGCATTTTATGATACTGAAGGTTTTAGGATTGAGGGGATGTTGTCTGTTATGTCGTCTAGGGATATTTCTATCTACCTGAGACGTTTAGTGTCTTCGTTGGGGTAAGAATTGGTATATGATCCCCAAGCCTCCTTCTGAGTGTTGAGGCTTCCCGGCTGTTGCTGGAAGCCCAGTGTCTCGCTATCCTGCTATGGGGTTATGTATACGGGATAGTAGGCCCGTAATGTGCGTCTGTAGGCTGTCTACGCCTATGTCTGCTCTATGTGTAAAAGTAGAGATGGAGGACCCCGAGGTGAGTGAGAGAAGAAGTTAAGGTAGAGAATAAGAAGAGTAGAAGAAGAGGAAAGATCGGTCTCCGGGGGAGCAGAAGGAGGAGGGCGAAGTGGGACAGGGGGTGTGGTGGTTCAATGCAACTTCCCCATTGCGTTCTGTTTGGCACTGGGCCCCGAGCCACTCAGGCTAGGGGTCCATCCTCTGCTCTGCGTCAGTTCCGTCAGTCCGCCAAGGGGCATTCCCTCCACAGTCCCCAGGTCTTCTCAAATTTCTTTTGTGTGCCCTGAGTCCTGGCTGTAAGGTCGTCCATAAGATGGTTGTCTTTTATTTTCCCAATGATCAGTGACTTAGGGGGGGGGTTGTGATTTTATCCAGAGTTGCGCTATGGCCCTGCGGGCGGCTAACATGATTTTTTTGGAATAGGGTTTGTTCGTGTTTGGGACAGTCGTCTATTGATCTATTTAGAAGGTACACCCAGGGACCAAGGGGTGGCGCTCTTTGGAATACCTGTACTATCATTTATCTAGTTTCTTCCCCCAAAAATTTGATCTTGGGGCACTTCCACCATATGTGTATATAGGTGGCTCTCAGGCCGCAGTTCCTCCAGCAAAGATTCGAAGGTGTTTTTCGCATGTGGTATAGTTGTACTGGGGTGGTATGCCATCGGAATAGGGTCTTAAATTCCAGCTCTTGCGTGGAAATGCAAATGGAGGAGGTAGCACACGCTTCCCAGATTTCCTGCCACTCCACTCCCTCCAAGACCTCCACTAGAATCCTCTCCCAATGGGTAGTGTACGTCAATCCACCCCATTCAGTAGTTTCAGAGCATAAATGGGCGTATAGCAATGTAATGAGGCACTTTAGGGGTTGTTCTTTGTAACATAAGTTTTCGAAAAAGGTGGAAATGATATATATCTATGTATATATAAATAAATAAAAATAATTTGAAATATACATATGTCCATATACATAATTACATAAATAATTTCATAAATATACACGTAGACTTCAAATATATAAATATGTTTATATATTAAAATTCTATGTGCATGTTTATGTAATAGTTTTACATATTTAAGTAATTTTATTGATTGCATTTTGTGGGACCTGCCTGACAACCCAGGCCGAAAGTCCAGAGAATTTAATTTGCCAGCAGTTAATTTACCCTGTAACTTTCCAAAACACCCTAAAACCTGTACATGGGGGGTACTGTTTTACTTGGTAGACGTCGGTGAACACAAATATTAGTGTTTCAAAACAGTAAAACATATTACACAGCCATAATATTGTCA